GATGATCTGAGGTGGAGCTGAGTCAGTGATGCTAGCGCTGGGGAGCGGCTGCAAATACAGATTATCATTAGCAGAGAGGTTTGACTGCACAGAGACCATAATAAAGCAGTTGCTTGCAGACTCATATCAAAACCCTATCAGTGAGTGGCAAGTGACAATTAAGTTGCATCTGGTGGCAGACTTTAGAGTAGCAAGTGAGTTGATGTACTTCAATTGTACATCTGCATCTGGTGGCAGGCTTTAAGTCAGAATCCGACACTTATTTTCGTCTGCACGTGGCCCACCCATTATTTTATTTACCATTTCCGTCTGTGCCTCTTTCCCGCACTGCGCACTTGTCTCAGTCACAGTTTTGGTAAGCCTACAAGCTAACCCTAGCCAAAATGAGTTAAAAACAAACGTGGCTGGAGAGCTTCTTTGAAAATGGAGAAAGACCCAATGATGAGACAGCAGAGGACTCTAAGACTGCCAACAAGAAAGCTGCAATTAAAAGAAAATACCAAGAGTCCTACTTAAATTACGGATTCATTGCAACAGGTGATTCACATTCTCCAAGCCCACTTTGTATATGTGGTGACCAGCTATCCAGTGAAGCCATGAAACCTTCCAAACTGCTTCGCCACGTGGAGACCAAGCACCCTGCATTAAAATACAAGCCTTTGGAGTTTTTCAAAAGAAAAAAATGTGAACGCAAAGAACAGAAGCAATTATTGAAGGCTACCACTTCATCAAATGTGTCTGCACTGAGAGCATCATGCTTATGGCTAACCACATTGCTAAAGCTAAGAAGCCCTTTACTATTGGTGAAGAGTTGATCCTGCCTGCTGCTAAGGACATCTGTTGTGAACTTTTAGTAGAGGCTGCAGTTCAAAAGGTGGCATGTGTTCCTCTTTCGGCTAGCACCATAACTAGATGAACTGATGAAATAGCAGAGGATATTGAGGCACGATTGTTAGAGAGGATTACTGAGTCACCGTGGTACGCAATCCAGGTTGACGAGTCTACCAATGTTGACGACGAGGCACCAATGCTTGTTTTTGTGAGATATATTTTTCAGGAGGATGTGCAGGAGGATATGTTATGTGCACTTTTGTTGCCAACCAACATCACAGCTGCAGAACTATTCGAGTCTTTGAATGATTACATATCAGGAAAACTGAATTGGTCATTTTTTGTCGGTATATGCGCGGATGGAGCGGCTCCTGTGACTGGACGGCTTTCTGGTTTCACTCCTCGGGTCAAAGAGGTCACTTCTGAATGTGAGCCTACGCACTGTGTCACCCATAGAGAAATGCCGGCTAGCCGGAAAATGTCACCTGAACTTGTTTTGTCACCTAACAATGTTTTGCAGGATGTGATTAAAATTATCAAACACATTACAGTACATGCCCTTAACTCATGTCTGTTCATGCAGCTCTGTGAGGGGATGGACACAGAACATACACGTCTTCTCTTGTACACAGAAGTGAGATGGCTTTCTAAAGGTAGATCACTGGCCAGAGTTTTTGAGTTACGAGAGCCACTCCAGAGATTTCTTTTAGAAAACCAGTCACCACTGGCAGCACCTTTCAGTGACACAGAATGGGTCACAAAACTTGCTTACTTATGTGACATATTCAACCCGCTCAATGAACTCAATCTGTCACTTCAGGGGAGGACGACAGCTGTGTTCAAGTCAGCAGATAAAGTGGCTGCATTCAAAGCCAAACTGGAATTATGGGGGCGACGAGTGAACATTGGGATTTTTGACACGTTTTAAACATTAACAGAGATTTTGAAAGAGACTGAGGCAGGGCCTTCTTTCTCCCAGCTGGTGCATGATCTCCTGCTTTCAAAGGAGTTTGAGCATTACTTCCCAACCACACAAGACCCCCAAAACGGGAAGGAATGGATCCATGACCCATTTGTGAATAAGCCAGGTGAATCGACTTTGTCTGTGCTAGAAGAGGATCAACTGCTTGAGATCGCAGATGACGGTGCCCTTAAAAGTATGTTTGAGACAACTTCAAGTCTCCATACGTTCTGGATTAAAGTCAAGGTGGAATATCCTGAGATTGCCGCAAAAGCAGTGAAAAGCCTGCTTCCGTTTCCAGCATCCTATCTTTGTGAAACAGGGTTTTCTGCAGGGACAGCAGCCAAAACAAGATTATGGAGTAGACTGAACATAAGCAACACACTTTGGGTGTCACCGTCTCCCGTCACCCCCAGATGGGACCATCCAGTTGCAGGGAAACTATCTCAGGGCTCCCAGTGATTCTGCATTATGGCAAGTTGTATAATTATTTCATTATATATTACAATGTAATAATAATAGAATTAAAGTGCACAATAAATGAAATGCGCTTGAATCATCCTGAAACCATACCCCCGTCCCCCAGTCCATGGGAAAATTGTCTTCTACGAAACCCATCCCTGGTACCGAAAACATTGGGGACCACTGTGCTACAGGATCTAGTTTGGCATAATGCTTACTTAAGAAAAACCCTTTGGATCCCTTCGTTATCAAAGGCAAGAAATCTGGTCAAGACGGTGGAGGGCAAGCTGAATACCTAGGCACACCCAGATGGATACATTTCATAGTTTGGGGAACACTGCCCCCTCCCCTGACACGATATTGTCATTTCAGCAGTAACAATTCTAAAAGGACAGGAAGGCCATATGTCTTGGCATGAGGCTGCCCCTACAGCTGGGAAATACCTTGGCCTACTGATAAAGGGTGTTCCTTCATGTCCAATTCCACCCTTCCGCTTTCTTGAAGCCCATCCTTTCATTGCCTTCAAGCCCAATCTTAGTCCAAAGTGTTCATCAGCTGCCTTGGAACCATAAGCAGCAGGCCTGGGCCAGAAACCTTCTGTTAAACCCAACTAACTGTGTGCAGATGTTTTTAGAATAAGGGGATCATTGTTTCAGTAGAATCTTGTGGCAGAGGTTTGCTGACCCTATCCTTACTACCACCTGCTGTACCCGGTATAGCATAGGAAAGAAACTGCCTACTAAGCTTTTAACACAATGACTATAGCCACATGGGTTCAGAGAATAGAACCCTTGCCCTCTTGTTTTTCTCTAAAATGATGGGCATATTTCTGTTTAGTCAATTGCTTCAAAAATTGGGCCTCCAAGAGGTATATAACATAGCTCACGTCCAAAAGGAAGGCAAGTGGAGACTGCCGTTTCACAAAACCCAATTCATTCAATTCAAAGACTGCCCCCTATGGACATGAGAGGTAGCTGCCAGGGTCTTTCAGGAAAGGTTTCTTCATTCTTAAAGTTGTAAGAAAGAGGTGGACCCACATCTATGCCTCTGGACATCCTGCCTGAACATGGTGATTGGGATGCTTATAGCAGCTTCGGTGCTGAGAAGAAAGTTGAAGCTCATTAGAAAGGCACACGGACTAGGGTTCTGGGTGTCTTCAAGGATATCTAGGAGCTACTGGACTCCTTTTCTGGCGGCGGGGTTGGAGCTACTCCTTTTATGTGAGATAATCTTATAGTTAAATCCAGTTGTTACCTTGGCTTCAGGTTTTCTACCTGCTTGAGTGGGTGAGAGAAGATTCCCTGGGTGTTTTGGAAGCGCTTTGGGCTCCTGGGAGTCAACTAAAAGAGTAACCTCGAAGTTTTAAAACGTAGAGGGACCAAGGCCCTGAGGGATGCTCCCAGTGAAACTAACGTGTCCCCATGGCAGATGGTACCTCATTCCTCGGCTGATTTGCAGGAGGCCTCGACCCTTCTCAGGTGAGTTCCGGGGCTGCTGCTCTCTGATGGTTCTCGAAGTACCTTCTGTCCTGTCACAGGCACTCTCTCTTTCTTGGTGTTTTATGTTTTCTCCTTGCACAAATTCTACCTGTTAATGGGAGAAAGATGCAAACATTTTAAAGAATTACTTGCAATCCTAGCATTCAGACAATGTTTAATATTATCTTGGCATATATACTCTATATGTGTACGTGTTTCTGATTCATATTTACCCCTTCAAAAATTTGATCATCATACTGTATATAAAGTTTTATATCCCCTTATTTGAGCTCATAACTGTATTATAAGCATCTCTACCTATTACTAAATACATTTTGAAAGCTTAAAAAAATGCCCTTTGGTCTGGCAATGCCTCCTGGGTATTCTGGTACTCGTGAAGGCATTTGGAAATGAGGCAGATAATGTCCTATCTTAATTAATTAAAAAAAAATTATTTCTCAGTACCATTTCTAGATTTAATCTAGAAAAGTAGACTGATGATTCTGGAGGCCTAGTTGCTAGGCCACATTCTCTCTACTTAAGAATAGGACATTTTTTTAGCCAACGTGATGACAGTCCATAGGTACTGAACACATAACTCTGTGACGATACACATCGTGTAGTATTTGAGAGCAAAGCCACAGGCTTTCTGGATTCCCCCTTGCTTTGCTGATTGCCTTCGAGATGAACTTAAGCATGCTAGTTAGCATCTCTAATTCCCCTTTTCCTCCTTTGTAAAATGAAAATAAAAATAAAATCTATTTCATAAGGTTGCTTTAAGAACTAGCATAATTCTGAATACAGAGCACTGAAATGTTAGCTCTGTTTATTATTATCATCAAAGTTTTAGGAACATTACCATGAGTTGATACTTGCCTTCTTTAATCTAACTATCCTCCAAAAAAAGTAGGAATTAAGGAAGGATTAAACAGGCAGTTTTTTCCCCTGTGCCTCACTCAATTGACTCTCCTCTAGGATGTCTACGTGCCTCAGATTCTTACCATGTATAAATCCTCACTATTCCCAGAGCAAAACAGACCTTTCCATAAGTGATTTCATAATCACTTGTCTACTCGTGATTTCTTCTGCTAGAATGCTCACCCCCTCCTTCACCCACCTGCCAAATGCTTGCTCATCCTTTAATATCTCCTCCTCTATGGAGCCCTTTCCCACATCCCCAAAGAGTTGTTGTTCACTCTTTACACTCCCACAACACCATTTTTAAACCAATATCTTTAACATAGCACTTACCATGGTATATTTGTAACTGATCTGTTTACATGATGATTCTTCCACTGGAGCGTTATTTTTTTGGGGGGGAGGGGGGCGCGGATCCGGGAACATGTCTTTGTCGTCTCCAAAGAGTGCAATAAACGCTTAATGTGTGAAAAAAAAATGAAACAAAACTATAAGCCATACATTTCCCCAGGGGAAAAAAACACATGAACTCTCAGCAGTCTGAAGGGCAGATCAGCTCCCCTGCTTTGTTCTCCATGTGTTCAGAACTAGAAAAAGCCCCCAATGGAGTCAGAAGGAAGGGTTCTATTCACACACACCTAATTACAGTCCTCACTCGATTCTCTCTCATAAATGACAACCATCAGATAGATGCCAAGTCATGGCAGAATGACATCTGGCTCTTTGGCAGACACCCCTGGTAACAGCGTTAATGACTTCGGAGATGGCTCTGGATGTGTAATGCTGTTAAGTTTGTTGTGTGGATTACATTACCCTCTTCAACATCTTTTTACATTGTCCTCTACTCACTTCTGATTCCGATTCTGTGAAACCTGGACACATTTATCCAAATTTGCCCAATGCCCTTCATGGCCTTGACATGTCAGTCCCTTAATATATTTTCATCAGCTCCTGTACATTTTTCACAGAGAGTTGTGAGTATACTTCACAGCCAGTTTGTGTTCTCATAGGCAACTCAAAGGGGAAGGTTTTTGTCATCTGGGAAAAAGTTCTTTAGTACTCGACCAAATTACATTTTGTAAGATGACCACATCTGGGGACTCCTTTTGAAATCACGCTATATAAAGGAAAAAAATGCCTCAGTGACTACATATGCTTTGAATTTGAAACCAATATGCAATGCTTCATTAGCTCCCAGGATGAACTATAAAAAGGCAGGGGTTGCAACCATAACAGTCTTGCCTCTGACTGAGAAAAATATATACATTTTAATTTTTTCCTAGGCATTAAAAACAAAGCCTATATCTGAAATTTCATCCAGTTTTCAGAAATGATGCATTTAATTTCAGTCCTGAGTTCTTATACTTTTTCCTTTTTTTTTTTTTTCACTCTTTACCATGTAGAAATAGGAGGCCAAACTAGGAGAACAGAATTGTATGAGAAACAAAATCCCCAAAAGTTTCTCTTCCATACCAGTTGATTATTGTGATTTTGGAAGAGGTCAAAATTAATCAAATTGGATATATATGAAAATGTATAAAATATTAAGAGAAATGTTAGAATCCAAATGGTAAATCACTATAGCAAGTCCTTATAATGGAAATCAATCCTTGGAACCAATAGACTGAAGCGTTAGCTTCATTCTATGGGTATTTTAACTATTTTTAAAAATTTTGCTTATAAAATAACTGCAATCCTCACAACTGAAAAAAGATTATATTATCTAGTGTTTTGACTTATTGGGGAAACACTTATGTGTAGAACTAATACATTTATCATGCTTAATTGGAAATTAATGAGACAGTATTTATATTGCCTATGTTTTTACTTTATTTTTCATTTAGGCATGCCATCTTAAAATGTATTACACCTATTTAAAATGCTGATGGAAATCAAAGATATAGGATTATGAAATGTCAAATGTAAAATTAAAAAGAGAAGGATAAGTTTTACAATTCTATACAGTGGTTCTCAATGATACCATGGTACCCTCTAATTCTTCAAAACTCTGGAGTGATTTGTAGGAAATAGAAATGTCCATGGTTCAAATCCTGTGACTTCCAAATATCACATATTTTGTTTGTCTTCATGGAAGAGACAAAACAACAGACACTGGAACATAATGTTCGGGAAGCAGCAAAATGGTTTTTGTTTATTAACTAGTTTGATGAGGAATAAATAATGGGATCTTTCCAAAAGTTGTCAGTCTTTGGCCCAAGTTTCCTGTGCCTAGGTCAACAAAACTTCAATTTCCATAAATATATTGATGCCTCCAGAAACGTGTGAACAAATGCTTTATCTCTATATTGTGTACATAAATATACGTTCTGAGATGTAAATTGATCAAACTGTAGAAACAAATCATTTAAGATTTGTGCAGTGATTAATAACAGAAGCCAGTAATCAAATCTCCCTGCCACCAACACATCTGTTACAGAGAGTTTCTAGTTTGCCCTATTATGCAAATGTGCTATAAAACAAATACTTTACTTAATTTAGCAGCTGGTTCAAAAACATTACTTTAGGTGATTTCTTTATGTTTCGTGTGCTTTTGCTATTGATAGTGGTTAATGTGAACTAATTCAATTGTTTATGAGATGAGGGCTTCTACATGAAAAGTAGCCTCTGGGGAAAGCCAGCCTTTAGAAAGTCATTTTGACCCTTGTCTCTGAGAACCAAACACTGCAGCAAACACAGGATAAGTCATGGCTCTCAAGGCCTCCACTCAAATAGCATGGGATTCTCAAAGGGTTTAAATGGAAACTCCCTTGATTTCCCTGTTCTTGTGGACGGAGGAAAATCCTATGACCAGTGCTAAAACTTGCTGGATTTGGGATTTAATTTTTTTTTAAGCTGAAGTTGTTTTTATATTAAACGTTAAAAAATCTGGACACAAAAAAGAAATTTAACAGGTGCACCATACTGCATATTCTGATGTTTTCCTGGTGAAAGGTAGGAGGATCTCATGGAATCAGTTGGAACTAGTTCAATATCTGGTATATTAAAAAGTAGGAAATGTGTCTCTCATGAGCTTGAAAATTATATGAAAACCCACAAGCAGGTGGGCTGGACTCTTAAGAAATGCTCAGAGGGGCACCTTTTGTGTAGAGTAGGCAGGGACCAAACTTGTATTTGTGACACCAGTCGAGGGAGGAGATGAGAAAAGGGAACAATGATATCAGGCACAGTCACCCACAGAGTCTTCGGGAGCTGGATAGCAGGCGAGAAAAGAAGAGCCTTGATTTTTCAGCAGTGGAGCTAAGTGAGATGGTAGCTGGAGAACAAGGAGTAATACGTTACTGTAGAGTTCTAAGTTGTTTGGAGACCGCCACCATACTTAGGACAGGGGATAGTCTGTCCTAAAGCCATATCTATGCCCAGTTCATATTCAGGGTCTCTCAGTTAATATGCAGGCTCTCAAATCCCTTCCACTATGGGCCCATAGGACAACTTCAAAAGGACCTTTGAATTAGTTGTTTTTAAATCCATCTTCACCAATGGCCAAAAACTACAGCGAAAAGGTGAGGAATTACATACATGCTTACATGCTTAATAATATAATACCTAGAATAATCCAACTAATCAGCGTTTATCGAACACTTGCATTAGCACACCCTTGTGAAACAACCTTATAAACAGTATCTCTTTTGAGCTTCATATTTTACCAATGTGGGTAGTGGGGCTCAAAGTGACTTGCCCAAGGTCACAGGACATTGGGACTGAAATGAAGCACTGATTCCAAAGCCCGTGTTCACAATTACGTTACCTTGTTTCTTAAACCAAAGTTAAATTTCAGTAGGAGACCTGAGGAAAAAGACAAATTGTGGAGCGTGTCCTCAGCACCACAGAAGTAAGAGGGAGAAACACCATTTTTTTCAGTGAATACTCAATTGCATGTTCTGCAAAGTGAGACAGTACTGCGCTGAGAATTCAAACATTAACATTTAAAAAGAAAATACAGGGCTTCCCTGGTGGTGCAGTGGTTAGGAGTCCGCCTGCCAATGCAGGGGACGCGGGTTCATGCCCCGGTCCAGGAGGATCCCACATGCTGCGGAGCGGCTGGGCCCGTGAGCCATGGCCGCTGAGCCTGTGCGTCCGGAGCCTGTGCTCCGCAACGGGAGAGGCCACAGCAGTGAGAGGCCTGCGTACCGCAAAAAAGAAAATACAGACTTAAGACACTTGACAGAGGGCAGGCCTTTGGAAATGTGGATTACCCAGCAGACAGACTGTATTATTCAGGATTCTCCAGAAAAACAGAACCAGTAGGATGTATATATATATAAAAAGAGGTTTATTATAAAGGAATCAGCTCACGTGATTACGGAGGCTGGCAAGTCCAACCACAGTGTGGACCTACAGGCTGGAGACATAGGAGCTGCAGATGCAGATGAAATCTGAAGGCAGTCTGATGGAGAATTCCTTCCTGAACAGGGAGGACAGTCTTTTTTGTTCTATTCAGGCCTTCAGTGGTTGGATAAGGCTCACCTACATTATGGAGGGTAGGCTGCTTTACTCACAGTTTCCCAATTAAATGTTCATGTTCATTTCCTCCAAAAATGCTCAGCAAGTTGACACATAAAATTAACCATCACACAGACCAAGTTTATACCTAAGACACCAGCAATATTAGGTAATTTAATAGAAAAAAAATTTTTTTGAAATAATCTGATATGTGACATTTCAGAAAAAACAATCACCATGGACAAAAATAGGACTCTGGCTATCTTACCCTTAATTTTACAGTTTAGTATTTTTAACATTTTGATTAGATGCAGGGTGGAGAGGGACAAAAAAATCTCCATAATTACCATAATATTTTAGTGCTTGGGACCTCTAAAGGCCCTGCCTCTGGCCATCACTAGAAATTTCAAACCATCATTATATGAATTTTTTTCTGTCCAATGCTTTAGAAGTTATAATGAAAGTGAATTGAATTCATTTGGCAAATATGAGGCCTGCCAACAATATTCTTACTTACTGTAGAGATTGTGAGGTCAACACAGCATAATGGGCCAGGGCAAGGCACTGAAGTCAGAAAGGCTCATTTCCTAACTCTTTTCAACACTTTCTATCAGTGTGATTTTTGGCAAGTTTCATAACTCTCTAAGCCGCAATTTCCATATCTATAAACTAAAGATAACTGAGCCTCTTTCCTACTGCTATCATGAGGATTAAAGGAGTTAAAGCATTTGGAACTCTGGGCACAGTGTCTGACGTATGATAACTCAATAAACATTATTCTTGTGATAGCCATAGGGAAGAAGAAAAGGAGCTAGGGTAAAAAGCATAGTTGTCGGACCAAATCCATCCATACTCTGTACGTGTTGCACAGTGAATATTCCCGGTGAGGAGGCCACTGAAGAACCATCATAGACCCTGTGTTCTCTGTTTTTGGAGACCATATTCTACATCATATCAAGCATATTAAAATATAATCAAATCCCACATTAAAGAAAAATTCAGAAGGTAAACAGTTTTGATAGTTTTTTTAAAAATAATTTTGCTTTTAAAACTACTTGGCCCCATAGTAATTTGTTATTTATTGAATTGGAATTTTAGGAATTCCTTAAAAGTAAAAAAAAAAATCTAAACTTTTTCTTAGGAAGTAAAATTTTTATGGAATTTAAATTTAATGTTTAATGAGGTTGCCAATATTTTGTATAGTAGTTTAATAAACATTTAAAAATTTGACTGCAGTTTAAAAAAAATTATTTTGGAGACAGTAAAGTTTGTATACAGGTTGCAAATATTCTTGAAAATTCTTGAAAGTTCGCAGATCCCAGATATTCTTCCTATACTACATAATGGTTAAACTGTCTTGCATAAGTTTTAAGTTCTGCAGAAAAGTAGAAAGAGAGAAAGCAAAAAAGGGAGAGAGGGAAAGGGGACGGGGGGAGTCAGAAAGTCATGCTTTCATTACTAGTTAAAAAGGTCTTTATAATTTTTTTTTTTTTTGCGGTATGTGGGCCTCTCACTGTTGTGGCCTCTCCCGTTGCGGAGCACAGGCTCCGGACGCGCAGGCTCAACGGCAATGGCTCACGGGCCCAGCCGGTCCACGGCATGTGGGATCTTCCCAGACCGGGGCACAAACCCGCGTCCCCTACACCGGCAGGTGGACTCTCAACCACTGCGCCATCAGGGAAGCCCAATTTCTTATTTTTAATATTTCAAACATACAGAAAAGTATAAAAAATACTAAAATACATTCCACTGCTTATTGCTCTCCCATTTTACTTCTAAGTTAATTTTCTTTCTTCCAGAAATATATTCATTAACTAATTTTAGTATGGCCTCATGGTTGAAGGCTAGGTTAACAAAATATAAATTTCTAGTCTCAAAGGTAATTTTACTTAGCAATTTGAGGATATCATTCCATTGTCATCTGACCTCTGTTATTGCAGTTTAACAGTTTGTTGTCAGTCAAATGGCTTTTTGACTATGATTTGCCTATTAGCTTCTCAGGTTTACTCTGTCTTTGATATTCTGTATTTGGTTTATAGTGTGCCTAGGTGTGGTATATAAATAAATATATGTATGTGTGTATATATATATATATATTTTTTTTGCTTGTTTGTTGTTTGTTTTCAAAATTTATTACCTGCCTGTTTATTTTTTATTTCTGGAATCCTATTAGTGGAATGTTGGACAACCTTATTTTATCTGTTTATTAAGCTCCTTTGCATGTTTTCTGTGTTTTTACTTCTCTTGCTTCTTTCTGGTAATTTCCTCAGATTTATGTTACAGAGCACAAACATCTCCACATATCCTGATTTTTTTTTTCTTGTCCACGCTTTCAAGTTCTTAGACTTATGCATACGTTGTAGTGCCAACACTTTGCTTTGTATGGGTCCAGAGCCTCATGTTCTCTCTCTGATGGGGAACTAAAACCCAATCTATTATGTTACTTGGACAATAACCCACTCTAGTCAACCTAAGTGTAAGTTTACCTTCTCTGTTTAAAGTTCTTTGTTTTTAGCATCTGAAGATTTCCTTTTCTTTTTTGCTAATTCAACTGACATTTACACTTTTTTTAAAAGATAGATTTTATTTATTTATTTATTTATTGGCTGTGTTGGGTCTTCATTGCTGCATGCAGGCTTTCTCTAGTTGCGGCGAGTGGGGGCTACTCTTCGTTGCGGTGCACAGGCTCTAGGTGTGCAGGCTTCAGCAGTTGTGGCTCATGGGCTCTAGAGCACAGGCTCAGTAGTTGTAGCACACGGGCTTAGTTGCTCTGCAGCATGTGGGATCTTCCTGGATCAGGGCTTGAACCCATGTCCCCTGCATTGGCAGGCAGATTCTTAACCACTGAGCCACCAGGGAAGCCCTACACTTTTTTTGATCTATCAAAATTAGCAGTATTAAATGTTTTCTGCTGGAGGATACTTACTTATTTTAGCCAGTGTTATTGGCTAAATTATGTACCCCTGAAATTCATGTGTGGATGCCTTAGCCCCCAATATGATGGCATTTGGAGATGGGGCTTTTGAGAGGCAAAAAAGTCATGAGGATGGTATCCTCAAGATGCAATTAGTGCTCTTATAAGAAGAGACACCACAGAGCTTGCTCTCTGTCTCTCCTTGCCATGTGAGAACACAGTGAGAATGCAGCTGTCTGCAAGCCAGAAAGAAAGTTCTTACCAGAACCAGAACATGCTGGCAACATGATCTGGACTTTTAGCCTCCAGAACTGTAAGAGAATACATTTCTTTTACTTAAGCCAACCAGTCTATCATATTTTGGCAGCCTGAGCAGATTATCAGCCATCTTTCTGAAATACTGAGTCTCTAATGCCTTATTTGTTCAATTAATATTGACGAGTTTTAAGGAAAAGAAAGCCTTGCTGCTTTTACCTTTAATATATCAACTGAGGCTCCCTAATATGAATCTGTAGAATAGTTTGACTCTCCCTGGATTCAAATAAACCACAGTATCTGAGCAAGTAACGGACAATAATTTTAGAAACCTACTAATTCATGTGGAATGAATAGTTCAACTCATGTTCATTCCGAATGGACCACAAGGTAAAGAATCACATTTGGAAGAATAGCCAAGAACAGAATGATTTTACTTTGTTGGGCTGAAAACACAGAAGCAAAGATAGCTTCTAAACAGCTTCTAGATGAATCCAGAAGGCAATCTATGGAAGTCCAATAAAGTGAAAACTTCCATCAAGATTGCAAATAAAATATCTTGAGGGAGTCTGTATAATTAATAAAAAGATGGGGCTATCATTACTGTGGTAGATATAAATTATTACTAAGTGCCCTCCAGCTAATTGGAAGGACCTTTGGCTTTTATGTGGCTATAGTGAGAAATGAGAAATTTACTATAGTAAGATATGTAGCATCTATTGCAATCTTAAAACAAAGAAATCTGTTGGCTGGCAGCAGTATAACCCTGAAGCATCCTGATGAACTGTAAATAATCCAGGCTCTACTGTGTGTGCAGAAAAAAAAAAAGAAACTTAGCTGATAATTCATATAGGATTGTATTCCTGCCATGTGACCAAAAGGCTTTAAAAGCACCTTTCTCTTGTGTTTCAGAGACTGGTATTAATAAAATCACTCGGCAATTTGGCAGTCATAAATTGAGACCTCTTGTCATTGTCTGGGTCACAGATGTCTCCCTCCTTTCCTTTTTAAACACTGATGTGTCAACAAAGTAAACACTGACTCCATAAATAAGCAGAGAGTCAGAGAACTAGGTTCTAGTCACTCCCATAATGGGAGGTAGGCAGAGGAATTTCCCAGGGGATGTGAGAGGGGAAGGAGGGGGCACTAGGATTGCTGTCAAGCAGATGATGGAATGAATACCCTATTTAAGTATGCCATACATCGTCATGTAAAAGAAGCAGTGGGTCACCAGAAACTACAGGAATGGCATACTGGGTTGATCCTATAATTAAGGGAGAAGACATAAGTCAGAAGCCTATCGGACCGACTGAGTTTCTCTACCATACACTATAATTATTACTTTTATGATTCTCACTTCAATAGGCACTTTACACTGATGATATGGAATGCCTTCTCCTTTCAGTATCAAAACTTAAAGAGTAAAGTATATGACAGATTGGAGAGTCAGCTAAAGCTCCCGCTCTTGCAAAGACAGACTGTGGCCATTACTCTATCTTGGCAAAGCTAGAAAAGCAGGGATTTCCACAGGGCAGCATCAAAATTGGCTGATTCTAAGAGAATCCATCACTTTAAAGACATCACCAGATGAATTTCTGCCAGTCCTTTCCCAAACTAGGCAGTTAGCAATCAAGGAAGAAAAACGTTAAAACTCCCACCATCACTATCACGACACACACACACACACACACACACACACACACACACACACACACACA